AACTGCTGCGTGCACCACCAAGTATGTGCATGGAATAAAACTGCTGCGTGCACCACCAAGTATGTGCATGGAATAAAACTGCTGCGTGCACCACCAAGTATGTGCATGGAATAAAACTGCTGCGTGCACCACCAAGTATGTGCATGGAATAAAACTGCTGCGTGCACCACCAAGTATGTGCATGGAATAAAACTGCTGCGTGCACCACCAAGTGTGTGCATGGAATAAAACTGCTGCGTGCACCACCAAGTATGTGCATGGAATAAAACTGCTGCGTGCACCACCAAGTATGTGCATGGAATAAAACTGCTGCGTGCACCACCAAGTATGTGCATGGAATAAAACTGCTGCGTGCACCACCAAGTATGTGCATGGAATAAAACTGCTGCGTGCACCACCAAGTATGTGCATGGAATAAAACTGCTGCGTGCACCACCAAGTATGTGCATGGAATAAAACTGCTGCGTGCACCACCAAGTATGTGCATGGAATAAAACTGCTGCGTGCACCACCAAGTGTGTGCATGGAATAAAACTGCTGCGTGCACCACCAAGTATGTGCATGGAATAAAACTGCTGCGTGCACCACCAAGTATGTGCATGGAATAAAACTGCTGCGTGCACCACCAAGTATGTGCATGGAATAAAACTGCTGCGTGCACCACCAAGTATGTGCATGGAATAAAACTGCTGCGTGCACCACCAAGTATGTGCATGGAATAAAACTGCTGCGTGCACCACCAAGTATGTGCATGGAATAAAACTGCTGCGTGCACCACCAAGTATGTGCATGGAATAAAACTGCTGCGTGCACCACCAAGTATGTGCATGGAATAAAACTGCTGCGTGCACCACCAAGTATGTGCATGGAATAAAACTGCTGCGTGCACCACCAAGTATGTGCATGGAATAAAACTGCTGCGTGCACCACCAAGTATGTGCATGGAATAAAACTGCTGCGTGCACCACCAAGTATGTGCATGGAATAAAACTGCTGCGTGCACCACCAAGTATGTGCATGGAATAAAACTGCTGCGTGCACCACCAAGTATGTGCATGGAATAAAACTGCTGCGTGCACCACCAAGTGTGTGCATGGAATAAAACTGCTGCGTGCACCACCAAGTGTGTGCATGGAATAAAACTGCTGCGTGCACCACCAAGTATGTGCATGGAATAAAACTGCTGCGTGCACCACCAAGTATGTGCATGGAATAAAACTGCTGCGTGCACCACCAAGTATGTGCATGGAATAAAACTGCTGCGTGCACCACCAAGTGTGTGCATGGAATAAAACTGCTGCGTGCACCACCAAGTGTGTGCATGGAATAAAACTGCTGCGTGCACCACCAAGTGTGTGCATGGAATAAAACTGCTGCGTGCACCACCAAGTATGTGCATGGAATAAAACTGCTGCGTGCACCACCAAGTATGTGCATGGAATAAAACTGCTGCGTGCACCACCAAGTATGTGCATGGAATAAAACTGCTGCGTGCACCACCAAGTATGTGCATGGAATAAAACTGCTGCGTGCACCACCAAGTATGTGCATGGAATAAAACTGCTGCGTGCACCACCAAGTGTGTGCATGGAATAAAACTGCTGCGTGCACCACCAAGTGTGTGCATGGAATAAAACTGCTGCGTGCACCACCAAGTATGTGCATGGAATAAAACTGCTGCGTGCACCACCAAGTATGTGCATGGAATAAAACTGCTGCGTGCACCACCAAGTATGTGCATGGAATAAAACTGCTGCGTGCACCACCAAGTATGTGCATGGAATAAAACTGCTGCGTGCACCACCAAGTGTGTGCATGGAATAAAACTGCTGCGTGCACCACCAAGTGTGTGCATGGAATAAAACTGCTGCGTGCACCACCAAGTGTGTGCATGGAATAAAACTGCTGCGTGCACCACCAAGTGTGTGCATGGAATAAAACTGCTGCGTGCACCACCAAGTGTGTGCATGGATTGATGCTGCGTGCACCACCAAGTGTGTGCATGGATTGATGCCCGTTGCCCCTCTCGCAGGACATTGCACGCGCCTCCTCTGCAGCGCCGCGACCCTCCCACCGCACCAGCACTGCCAAGGAGCGCAGCAGCATGGACGGCAGCGTGGGGAGGGGCGTGACACATGGAGGGCACAGCATTGGCAGCAGTGATAGGATGGAGAGTGCGTGCAGGCAGGAGGAGGGGAGGGAGAGAGGCGCAGGGGAGGGGAGTGAGTGCACGGAGGTGGGGTGCATGGAAGGCCAGGCGGGTGGCAGTAGCCGTTGGGAGGGGGGAGTGGCAGAGAAGGTGACCAACCAGGCTGATTCGGTTGGGGTTTCGGGATTGGTTGCTGACCTGGCAGCCTCTGGCATTCGGGTGAAACCACGGTGAGAAGCAGGGTGAGTGAGGGGTGAGGGTGGAAATTGAATACCCAATCCAATTCGAATACGAGTACTTTAGACGAGTATTTTGCGAGAAATCACCAAAAAAGTATTTGATCGAATACCATCATGTCATTCGAGTCAAGTAGCGAGTACTACCCCACCGATTTGAGTTGGGAATTCTTATTTGCAGGTTTGTTTCTCCAAAAAAAATCAAACTTGATCGTGTTCTCTGCTGTCAAGAGTGCTAGAGTGCTAGCGCATGTCACGATGGGCAGATCGTAGCCAAGTGCGCAAGCACTCCTAGCCACTTAGCGTAGGTTCTTACCCAACGAAGTCGCAAACACTGTTATAAGTGGACGGTTGATTCTCTGGGGGAGGAATTTGTGGCCACATTGACTATATTCCTCGTTTTAGGTGTATGGGTGGGCGGGGATGCTAAAGTCGAGCACTTGCCGCGCACCCGAGTACTTGACCTCCGAATACTCGCCCCATCGAGTACTTGACCTCCGAATACTCGCCCCATCGAGTACTTGACCTCCGAATACTCGCCCCATCGAGTACTTGACCTCCGAATACTCGCCCCATCGAGTACTTGACCTCCGAATACTCGCCCCATCGAGTACTTGACCTCCGAATACTCGCCCCATCGAGTACTTGACCTCCGAATACTCGCCCCATCGAGTACTTGACCTCCGAATACTCGCCCCATCGAGTACTTGACCTCCGAATACTCGCCCCATCGAGTACTTGACCTCCGAATACTCGCCCCATCGAGTACTTGACCTCCGAATACTCGCCCCATCGAGTACTTGACCTCCGAATACTCGCCCCATCGAGTACTTGACCTCCGAATACTCGCCCCATCGAGTACTTGACCTCCGAATACTCGCCCCATCGAGTACTTGACCTCCGAATACTCGCCCCATCGAGTACTTGACCTCCGAATACTCGCCCCATCGAGTACTTGACCTCCGAATACTCGCCCCATCGAGTACTTGACCTCCGAATACTCGCCCCATCGAGTACTTGACCTCCGAATACTCGCCCCATCGAGTACTTGACCTCCGAATACTCGCCCCATCGAGTACTTGACCTCCGAATACTCGCCCCATCGAGTACTTGACCTCCGAATACTCGCCCCATCGAGTACTTGACCTCCGAATACTCGCCCCATCGAGTACTTGACCTCCGAATACTCGCCCCATCGAGTACTTGACCTCCGAATACTCGCCCCATCGAGTACTTGACCTCCGAATACTCGCCCCATCGAGTACTTGACCTCCGAATACTCGCCCCATCGAGTACTTGACCTCCGAATACTCGCCCCATCGAGTACTTGACCTCCGAATACTCGCCCCATCGAGTACTTGACCTCCGAATACTCGCCCCATCGAGTACTTGACCTCCGAATACTCGCCCCATCGAGTACTTGACCTCCGAATACTCGCCCCATCGAGTACTTGACCTCCGAATACTCGCCCCATCGAGTACTTGACCTCCGAATACTCGCCCCATCGAGTACTTGACCTCCGAATACTCGCCCCATCGAGTACTTGACCTCCGAATACTCGCCCCATCGAGTACTTGACCTCCGAATACTCGCCCCATCGAGTACTTGACCTCCGAATACTCGCCCCATCGAGTACTTGACCTCCGAATACTCGCCCCATCGAGTACTTGACCTCCGAATACTCACCCCATCGAGTACTTGACCTCCGAATACTCGCCCCATCGAGTACTTGACCTCCGAATACTCGCCCCATCGAGTACTTGACCTCCGAATACTCGCCCCATCGAGTACTTGACCTCCGAATACTCGCCCCATCGAGTACTTCACCTCCGAATACTCGCCCCATCGAGTACTTCACCTCCGAATACTCGCCCCATCGAGTACTTGACCTCCGAATACTCGCCCCATCGAGTACTTGACCTCCGAATACTCGCCCCATCGAGTACTTGACCTCCGAATACTCGCCCCATCGAGTACTTGACCTCCGAATACTCGCCCCATCGAGTACTTGACCTCCGAATACTCGCCCCATCGAGTACTTGACCTCCGAATACTCGCCCCATCGAGTACTTGCGAGTCAAGTATTTGCCCTTTTTCTCAGGCATTCACTTTGACTGGTTTTTGCCAAACCTCGAATCTCGAGTAGTGACCGGGCACCTTCCAACTCGTTTTCCACCCTTGGTGAGGGGGAAGGGTAGGTAAAAAGAATGTGTTCCAAGAGGCTCTATAGTACAACCAAGTGATGGAGAGAGGAGTGGAGAAGGAGCTTACCCTGTTGGCCAATGGGTGAGCTTGCTTGTGACCCAAGCAACTACAAATGTGTGCTGGTTGGGATTGGTGGAGCTAAGGACCAAGGTTGGCAGATGCAAAGCAATGTCCAGGCTTAAGGACCAATCCCCACCAACCACAAGTTGGTTGGAGGGTACACCTAACAACTCCTCAATAGGTAAGATTGCTACACCCCTAACACTAGCCTTTTTATGTTATATAACATAAGAGATTACGACAGAATGTGGTTGTTTCCGCAAGCAGTAGTCTGTAAACTATGCAGGCGCTCATGCGCTTGCCTGTGGCCCTGCCACGTTCAAATTATCTTCTATCGTGCTTCCCCCCCTCACCCCGGCAGTGCCGTGCAGAGCGCCATCCGCCAGCTGCTGCTGCACGACGACCACTGCCACGACGACTGCCACGCCGCCCTCACTGCCGCTGCTGCACCTCCCGCCCGCCCCAGCCACCCCGCTGCCATGGCCATGGCCATCCGGCGACCAGCAGCAAACAGCGAGGCAGCAGGGAGGGTGGGCGAGGTGGAGAGGGCGGAGGCGAGTGAGGAGGAGGCAGGCAGCGGTGGGGGGGGCGGCGATGCAGAGGCGGTGCCGTGGCTGGAGCGCGCCATCAGCCTCGTGGATGCCCTGCCACGCCTGGTGGGTGGTGGCATGGCTGTGATGGCATGGCTGTGATGGCATGGCTGTGATGGCATGGCTGTGATGGCATGGCTGTGATGGCATGGCTGTGATGGCATGGCTGTGATGGCATGGCTGTGATGGCATGGCTGTGATGGCATGGCTGTGATGGCATGGCTGTGATGGCATGGCTGTGATGGCATGGCTGTGATGGCATGGCTGTGATGGCATGGCTGTGATGGCATGGCTGTGATGGCATGGCTGTGATGGCATGGCTGTGATGGCATGGCTGTGATGGCATGGCTGTGATGGCATGGCTGTGATGGCATGGCTGTGATGGCATGGCTGTGATGGCATGGCTGTGATGGCATGGCTGTGATGGCATGGCTGTGATGGCATGGCTGTGATGGCATGGCTGTGATGGCATGGCTGTGATGGCATGGCTGTGATGGCATGGCTGTGATGGCATGGCTGTGATGGCATGGCTGTGATGGCATGGCTGTGATGGCATGGCTGTGATGGCATGGCTGTGATGGCATGGCTGTGATGGCATGGCTGTGATGGCATGGCTGTGATGGCATGGCTGTGATGGCATGGCTGTGATGGCATGGCTGTGATGGCATGGCTGTGATGGCATGGCTGTGATGGCATGGCTGTGATGGCATGGCTGTGATGGCATGGCTGTGATGGCATGGCTGTGATGGCATGGCTGTGATGGCATGGCTGTGATGGCATGGCTGTGATGGCATGGCTGTGATGGCATGGCTGTGATGGCATGGCTGTGATGGCATGGCTGTGATGGCATGGCTGTGATGGCATGGCTGTGATGGCATGGCTGTGATGGCATGGCTGTGATGGCATGGCTGTGATGGCATGGCTGTGATGGCATGGCTGTGATGGCATGGCTGTGATGGCATGGCTGTGATGGCATGGCTGTGATGGCATGGCTGTGATGGCATGGCTGTGATGGCATGGCTGTGATGGCATGGCTGTGATGGCATGGCTGTGATGGCATGGCTGTGATGGCATGGCTGTGATGGCATGGCTGTGATGGCATGGCTGTGATGGCATGGCTGTGATGGCATGGCTGTGATGGCATGGCTGTGATGGCATGGCTGTGATGGCATGGCTGTGATGGCATGGCTGTGATGGCATGGCTGTGATGGCATGGCTGTGATGGCATGGCTGTGATGGCATGGCTGTGATGGCATGGCTGTGATGGCATGGCTGTGATGGCATGGCTGTGATGGCATGGCTGTGATGGCATGGCTGTGATGGCATGGCTGTGATGGCATGGCTGTGATGGCATGGCTGTGATGGCATGGCTGTGATGGCATGGCTGTGATGGCATGGCTGTGATGGCATGGCTGTGATGGCATGGCTGTGATGGCATGGCTGTGATGGCATGGCTGTGATGGCATGGCTGTGATGGCATGGCTGTGATGGCATGGCTGTGATGGCATGGCTGTGATGGCATGGCTGTGATGGCATGGCTGTGATGGCATGGCTGTGATGGCATGGCTGTGATGGCATGGCTGTGATGGCATGGCTGTGATGGCATGGCTGTGATGGCATGGCTGTGATGGCATGGCTGTGATGGCATGGCTGTGATGGCATGGCTGTGATGGCATGGCTGTGATGGCATGGCTGTGATGGCATGGCTGTGATGGCATGGCTGTGATGGCATGGCTGTGATGGCATGGCTGTGATGGCATGGCTGTGATGGCATGGCTGTGATGGCATGGCTGTGATGGCATGGCTGTGATGGCATGGCTGTGATGGCATGGCTGTGATGGCATGGCTGTGATGGCATGGCTGTGATGGCATGGCTGTGATGGCATGGCTGTGATGGCATGGCTGTGATGGCATGGCTGTGATGGCATGGCTGTGATGGCATGGCTGTGATGGCATGGCTGTGATGGCATGGCTGTGATGGCATGGCTGTGATGGCATGGCTGTGATGGCATGGCTGTGATGGCATGGCTGTGATGGCATGGCTGTGATGGCATGGCTGTGATGGCATGGCTGTGATGGCATGGCTGTGATGGCATGGCTGTGATGGCATGGCTGTGATGGCATGGCTGTGATGGCATGGCTGTGATGGCATGGCTGTGATGGCATGGCTGTGATGGCATGGCTGTGATGGCATGGCTGTGATGGCATGGCTGTGATGGCATGGCTGTGATGGCATGGCTGTGATGGCATGGCTGTGATGGCATGGCTGTGATGGCATGGCTGTGATGGCATGGCTGTGATGGCATGGCTGTGTTGCCATGGGGGTGATGGCATGGGGGTGCTGGCATGGCTGTGATGGCATGGGGGTGCTGGCATGGGGGTGATGGCATTGGGGTGATGGCATGGGGTTGATGGCATGGGGGTGATGGCATGGATGTGATGGCATGGATGTGATGGCATGGGGGTGATGGCATGGATGTGATGGCATGGGTGTGATGCCATGGCTGTGACTGGGCATGAACAGAAGTGATTTTGATGTGAGCCCTTGTTCTAGTTGATTAAGTTCCCCTGGATCTTGCTTTTTCCGCGTTTAATTGTTCAGCCCTGCTCACAAGCACAAGCGTGTTCACCCGTACTCAATCCCCAGAAAAGGGTCTGTAGAGTCTGCAATTCAATGCGACATGCTTCCTCTCGGACATGAGCAATTCATGGAGGGGGGGATTTCTATTGCCCGTGAAGTTGGAGTCAAACTGCATCTACCAGCTCCACCATTCCACGGTCTCGCACAGTATTTGTCTCCTTCTGGGACAACAAGAAGGAATCTTGAGATCGTTTCGAGTCATAACCGTGATGTAAACACTGGCTTCTCCTACCGACTTCGGGTTGTTGAAGTCGCAGTTTGTACTTTTGTTCTCACCTGTACCTGGGATGGGATGAATCATTGTGCGAGGGCAGTGCTCCAGGGGAGGGACGTCAGCATTGAAGCAGCAGACAAGGGCAGTGGTGCAGGGCAGTTCCCTAGCTGGCCCTTCATTGCACTCCCCCTGGGAACTTCCATGTGTGTGTATGTGTATGTGCATATGCGTGAGCGTATATGTATGTGTGTGCGTGTGTATGTGCGTGGGAGTGTGTGCATGTGTTGTGTTTATGTGTGTGTGTGTGCATGTGTGTGTGTGCATGTGTGTGTGTGCATGTGTGTGTGTGCATGTGTGTGTGTGTGCATGTGTGTGTGTGCATGTGTGTGTGTGTGTGCATGTGTGTGTGTGTGTGCATGTGTGTGTGTGCATGTGTGTGTGCATGTGTGTGTGTGTGTGCATGTGTGTGTGCATGTGTGTGTGTGTGCATGTGTGTGTGCATGTGTGTGTGCATGTGTGTGTGCATGGGGCACGGCAGTTCGCCCAGCAGCCCACGGCCTATGTGTATGCGGAGCTGCTGCGAGCGTGTGTGCGCAAGCGGCAGTGGCGGCGGGGGGAGCAGCTGTGGCAGCAGATGGGGGCGGCGGGCGTGCAGGCGGACGTGCCGTGCTGGCAGGCCCGTCTGCGCTGCCTGGGGGCTCTCAGCCGCGTCGCAGGCGCGTCGCACGCGCTGCTGGCAGAGGCGGCAGCAGCGGGCACGGCCATGGAGCGCCACCCCGACCTGCTGCGGTGCGCTGCTTCCCCCTGCTCTGCACCATGCTGTCTTGCTGCTCCCCCTGTGACCATTGCCTCTTGCCCATTTCTCACTTCACCTTAGCCACCTTTCCTATTCGATGTGCCATACACCAAGTGCCCCCCCCCCCCTCCCCCTCCCGTTCGCCCCAGCAGTGCACTGCTGAGGGAGTGCCAGCGGGCCAATGACAGTGACGGGGCAGCCTTTGTGCGCAACATGCTCGCCATGTCCCAGCGACACTCTTAGATTTCCCCTTTCCATGGGACATTAATGTACCAGCTGATCTGTGCCTCATCCCATCCTGTCTGTACCGTACACACCGAATGTACTCTTGTAACGGGTGCAATGAATCCAGGGAGTACCGTATTCCCCCGGATATACCACCCTAGGGTGCTATGATAACTACACAAAAAAAAGGGGGGGGGGTCTTGTCATCGGAAAAAGCTACATTGCACCCGGGTCTTTACATAATGTATTTTTTTTATAGCGTAGAAGGTTTAGAACTAATTTTACATGTTTGCCGTGATGGTAGATTGTTGGTTGGGTGCGCAAAACCGAGGACTGGGCGATAACGTTAGTCTCGAGAATTAGCTGCCACATTGCAAGCTCCAACAAGGCCCACTGTCAGGCCCTGATTGGTCGAAAACAATCATGCAGTCACAAAGGCGGAGCGCCCGCAACAGCCTCAGCTGCCTCGCTGGGGCGGTCACGTCCTTGTACTGAGGGCGCATTCCTGAGGGCGCATTCCTTGTGCTGATGTTAACATGTAGATGGTTAATGACTGGAAACCCTATGCTATTTAGGCAAAAACTGCAATATTACCCGTACATAACACCCCCCCCCCGGGTGCTATATAGGATGCCCCCAAAAGGGGGGGTATAGTAGAAACGAGGCCCGCTATAGCACCCCCCCCGCACAAGCCACCCGGGGGGTGCTCTATTTCGGCGGGTGGTATGTCTGGGGGAATACGGTATTGCACTAAGTTGTCAAACAAGCATATGTGTCTTACCGTATCACCTCCGATATAAGCGCGCATGCGCTTATAATAAAATGTGTTTTTTTAGGGGGGTGCGCTTATAATTGAATCAAAAAAATTGCGCATTCGCTTATAAAATGACATATACAGAAATATTATTTAAATGCACCAAACAGGCCCGATGTTATCATGATAAGGTATCCTGAATTTCGTGAAATCAGGATAGGTCTTGTGGGTCTGTCCTGGAAAACAGCATTAGGGAAATACTTGTCCTGTATAATCAGTATAGTGGTTATGTAGCGTACTGGGGGCGTATTCCTATCCTCCTATCAATCTGACCTCCTATCAAGCTCACACTGAAAAATACCCTAATCCCAAAACCTCTCGCTACTTTTACCAGGCAAAAGGTACAATCTTGATAGGAGGTTTCTTGATAGGAGGCCGTAGGAATACGCCCTGACAATTCAGTATAAGGGCGTATTCCTATCCTCCTATCAAGAAAACCTCTTATCAAGCTCACACTGAAAAATTCCCTAAACCCAAAATCTCTCGCTACTTTCACCAGGCAAAATGTGCATTCTTGATAGGAGGTTTCTTGATAGGAGGCCGTAGGAATACGCCCTAATGGTGTAGGTTCAGCCTTGTCCATTCAGGATAGTGTCGAATCTCGCACTGAAGCGAGATGTACTGTAATCTCCCAGACATAACACCCTAGGGTATATGTAAAAATACAGGAAAAAAAGGGGGGTGTCTTCTCATAGGAAAAAGCTACATACTGGTATGTCGTTAAGACCTTTATCTATTTTATGGAACAACGAATCAGACTCAATTGTAGCTGAATTAAACATAGAAGTTGTATGTGCAATAATACCAACTGATATTTCCTAGATAACCTTTACCCCAACAAATGAAATACAATAATTCCGCACTGTTGGTTGGGTGCAAATTCACATTGCACGACATCCTGCCGTTTGTTTGTACGAGTATGCGTGTGCGAATGCATTTGCGTGTGAATGGTGTGTTCGAGTGTTTGTGTGCTTTCGCAATTTTCGCTTGATGCATTTGCAGGTACTCGCGCAATGTGCGCTTTGGCACAACATTGTACGCACTATGAACAGTGCAAACAGAATGGACGAGCTTCCAAAGGAACCCAAGATGGAAGCTTTGCAGTTCGGTTGAGTTGATTGCGCAGATTCAGTTCTATCCAACTTGAAATTGTACTGTTTTGTTTGGTTGACTATAGTGTAGTAGGGAAGGCACTATAGGGGTACAATTTAGATGAAGGTTGGATGTTGTTTGTCTGTATTTGCATGCTACAAGGCCAGGGGAAACCAGCAGAACCAGCATTTGGCTGGTTGGGCAAAGACAAAACAGGTTCTGTTTTTAGAACCTGAACCTGGTTGTTGTTTTCCCAGGTTGGAAAAACAGAACCAGAAGTTGTTTACCAACCTACCACCTGCTATTTTGTCCAGCCAGATTGGTTCTGTTGCTTGGAATCATTTGGGATCATCCCTGGTTGTTCCCAAGTTGATTCCCAAGGTCCTTGCTAGCTAGAAGTATTTATTCCTTCTCTGTTTGTACCTGGATATAGTCAGTTGATTCAAGCGGATTTCTTCCTTGCTGGAATTGTGTTCTCTATGCGGTTCAATGACGTGATGCTACCCGAGTCAACGCTAGTACGCTAGCACTCTAATGCTAGGCAAACGCTGTCCGAGCCATAACTTCGTAATGGCAAAACTTTTCGCGAGGCAACTTGGCTTATTTTAAAGCTCTTAGAGCGAGCTTCGATATAGCGAATTCTCAGCTTAATCTGATCGACGGTCTGCACGGCACGCTGCGCGACGTTCAAGGTACTCTTGCTGTTTTGACTAAGTCCCTCTTGATCCCTCTCTCTACAAACTCGGACCCGAGGATAGGGGCTGGTCTTGTACCAGGCACCCAGGGACACTTGGAGGAGAGGTATTAAGTTTGAGCAATACGCACAACCCAGGGACCCTAATAGCTTGAGTTTATTAAGCCCTTACACCAACACGCACAACCCCGGTTCTACTTGGAGACCCATGTTGACATTATGGGGGTTCCAAGTGTGACAACAAGGAATTGACCTGGTTCATTCCTGTGCGTAACAAGAAGTCAAACATTTCTGGGAATGAAGACTAAGGGTCGAGATGAACCGAAGCGACAAAGACTGATGTCATACCGAGACCGATGTAGGCAGAAACTTTTGAATGGGAATCGGCAGAAACAGGTTTTGAAACGGGTTCCTGCTTTTCACGATTGAAGTCTCGCTGTTAGAAGGGAACGTACCCCTATACATGGCTAGTTAGGACCCTTCGCATTCTGTGTATTTCCTATATAAACCAATGTCTTTGTTCTAATTACATGCATCTTTCACTTCCGCTGCGAATCACCCCGCGATCAATCCTGAACATTTCTAAGCTAAGTCCCTCGTGGGATTCTAACATGGTATGAGAGCAACTCAGATATTCTTTGCACTCTCACTTCCGAAAGTTTATTCGAACCGAAAGTGGCGACTGGCACTTGCTCACGCGTCAAGTTGGTAGGAGGATTGGGAGGTTAAACAAATGTGATAGCACTGCCGACTTAGAGCAACTACTTTAATGACTATCAACTTTGGGGCATTGTCTCCAAACATTGTGGAATGGCGACGCGGGAACATTCTCCCAACCCGCGCAATCTGCTGCAAACGACCGAAAAACCGCCCCGTAAACCTACTTTTTTCAACACAAACATATCAACACCAAAAGACCTTCGTCCAAGTGATGATGCCATCAACTCAGTTCAAGCAAGGATTTTCTATATCTCCAAAATCAAGATAAGCACCATCTTTGACGGAATATACTTTTACACCTGGAGTTTTGAATTGGATCTATTACTGCAAATTTCACAAATCTACCATTCCAATAACGGATCGAGTAAAGAATTAGGAATTTCCCTTATAGAGTGGATGTACACAATTCTTGTGTAACAAACAGTGTCAGAAGAACTGAACGAGGAATGAATGAACTAGCAGTGAAATGAGTACAAGTACCTAACCCTAGAATTGTGTACCCCCTATAGGCTAACCCACTGTAGCCTAAACAAGCACAACACATATAATGTTTGACACACCCCCATAGGCAAAGTGGGGGAGAGCAAGGGGTCACAAGACCAGTCAAAGCAAAGCAAAACAAGCTCAAGGTGGATCTCAAGGATACCACACAAATTCCGAGCACAAGCAAGTGGTCACAAGACCAGTTCACATGCAGGTTGATAAAATAGCAAGAGATACAGTGATCACAACCTAGCAAGAGTAAACATGCAGGCATATATATAAGATCACAGTACAAGCAGAGTCAAGAAGTAAGCAAGTGAGGTCCAGCAGGCACAAGGCCTAGAAGAGTACAGAAACGCTGATGGTCACAAGGCTGAAGCGCCTTGGTGAACACATCAGCAAGGTTGGCCTCAGTGGCCACGTAACGCAGACGTAGCTGACCACGCTGCTGCAGCTCTCGAGCAAGGAAGTACCGCAGGGCAATGTGCTTCGTTCTGTGCTCCAGTCTGTGCTCCTCACACAAGGCAATGGCAGCCTGGTTGTCGACGTACAGCACTGGAGGAGAACGAGGCCGCTCTCCCAAGTCGGTCAGCAGGTAGGTCAGCCAGCGTAGCTCCTGGGCAGCCATGGCTGTGGCGTAGATCTCAGCCTCACAACTGGAGCTGAGAACAGAAGAAGAGCGTGTAGAACGCCAAGAAACTGAGCCGGAGCCAAGGCTGAAGGTGTAACCCTGAGACGACCGCTGAGTAGCCTGGTCGTCCGCCCAAGAAGCGTCTGAGTGTCCAGTAAGTACAACTCGGTCTCGCCCTCCAAGCACTAGCCCCATGCCCGACGTACTGCACAAGTAGCGCAACACCCTCTTAGCGGCATCCATGTGCTCCTTCCTGTGACGGCCAGGAGCGACATAGCGTGCAAGGATGCTAAGAGGGTATGCAAGGTCAGGTCGAGTGCAGGTCATCAGGTACATGAGGCAGCCCACAAGCTCTGGATACGGGCCACTCGGCTCTACGGACTCATCCGAAGGCAGAGCTGAGAGCGAGTGACCGGTAGGCAGAGGAGTGGACTGAGGCGAGGAGTACGTGAAGCGGAAGCGCTGAAGGATCTCAGACTCGGACTCAGCAACAAGGCTAGTGGCGTAGTCTAGACGACACCGGGCAGCAAAGTCTATCAACTCAGCGACCAGAGCAGACGCAGCAGAGGACTCAAAGGTAGGGTCAGTGACAACAGTAGCGAGGAGACGGGTGACAGTGGGACTGGCAGCACGACGGGAGTCAGACTCCGGATCAGGAAGAGTAGGCAGAGAGGACGCAGGAGGAGACGGCAGCGGGACACGCTGAGGAGCAGTGGAGGGACGCAGAGTCATGTAGTGAGTGCCAGGGACAGGAGGAGGACGCTCACGTGGGACACGACGACCAGTGCGAGCAGTACGAACAGGCGACGCAGGACGAGACGCAGGCTCACGACGCTCTGCAAGACCTCCTGTGGGACCAGTGTAAGGAGAGGGACCAGGGAGAGGCGAGGCAGGCGGTAACTGTGACTGGGACTGGACAGGCGGAGGACACGCTACGGAGGGAGGAGGACAACGAGGAGGAGCCTGACCAAGAACCTGCTGAAGGAGCGGTACGAAGTACGGTCGCGGCCGGGTAGCGTCTCCAGAACCAGCAGAGACACCAGTGCCAGGGTCCTCAGTACCAGCAGCAGCTCCACCGCCCGGGTCCGCAGCACCAGCAGCAGCTCCACCGCGCGGGTCCTCAGCACCAGCAGGAACTCCACCAGCCGGGTCCTCAGCACCAGTAGCAGCTCCAACGTCCGGGTCCTCAGCACCAGCAGCAGCACCACCGCTCGGGTCCTCAGCACCAGCAGCAGCTCCACCGCTCGGGTCCTCAGCACCAGCAGCAGCTCCAACGTCCGGGTCCTCAGCACCAGTAGCAGCGCCACCGCTCGGGTCCTCAGCACCAGCAGGAACTCCACCAGCCGGGTCCTCAGCACCAGCAGCAGCTCCACCAGTCGGGTCCGCAGCACCAGCAGCAGCTCCAACGTCCGGGTCCGCAGCACCAGGAGCACCACTCCGAAGACTGCAGCGCCTCGTGTACCACTCTCGGATCTGCTGGAGGGGGGGGAGCTCCCGGGCAGGAGGGGAAGCACCGCGACCAGCTCCAGCAGTACCTCTCCGGAGGCGGCAGTACTGTAGGTACCTCTCCTGCAGCCGCTGTGAGGAGAGGGCTCCTCCAGGTGTAGTACCCCCAGACTCAGCACCCCCAGGCTCCGCACCCGCAGACTCAGCACCCTCAGGCGCACTACCCCCAGGCTCGGCACCCCCAGGCTCCGCACCCCCAGACTCAGCACTCCCAGGCTCAGCACCCCCAGACGCAGTACCCCCAGGCTCAGCACCCCCAGGCTCAGCACCCCCAGCAGGACGAGAGTCAACAGCTACCTCGACAGGCTCACCCGGGTCTACCTGGGACACACCTGAGGGAGCAGCACCCTGAGGGGGGAGGGGGTCTGGTACCTCAGCACCTGGAGCGAGGAAGAGAGGCGGGGGGGGGAGCGGGGCAGTGCGGTAGGGGAAGAGGCGGTAGTAGGGGACGGACTCGTCAAAAGTGACGTCCTGAGAGGCCAGGACACGACGCGAGGTGGCGTGGTAGAACTGCCAACCAGGCGCGTCCGGGACAAAGCCAAGGAAGACACAGGGGACAGCGCGACGGGAGAGCTTGTCTGCGGACGTGTCGCGAACAAAAGCTCGAGATCCCCAGACCCAAAAACGCGACGCATCGCCAGCCTCTCCCGTCCAACGCAATGTCGGAGAAGTCTCCGGTAAGGAGACCCGGGGCCAGAGGTTGAGCTGATGCGCAGCGTATCGGACTGCAAACGGCCACAGAAAGTGGGGGGCAGCCGCATGAACCAAGGAGGTACGAGCGACCTCCATGACCAAGCCAATGCGGCGCTCAGCAACCCCATTCTGCTGTGGAGAGGCCGGAAGCGTGAACGACTGCTCAATGCCCTCCTGCTGACAGAAGGCCTCCAGGAGGCCAGAGGAAAACTCCCCACCTCTGTCAGAGTGCAGACGCAGGACAGGGAAGTCGGAGCGGAAACGCTCACTGAGCTGGAGACGAGATCTGCGGATCCAAGGGATCAAGACATCAGGGACGTCACCCTTGGTGCGCAAGGGGAAGACCGTGGTGTAGCGCGAGAAGTCATCAACAACAATCAGGAAGTACCTCTCCTGACCCTGACCACGCACGCGGGCTGGGCCCCACACGTCCATATGGAGCGTCTGCAAAGGAGCAGTCGTCGGGGGAAAGGAGGAGGAGTGAGGAGCGGCGCGCTGCCGCCCCTCGACACAGGGAAGACAGGGAGGAGCAGGCGAGGGTGGGAGGGGAGGGAGAACCCGGGGAAGACCAACAACAAGGTCCCGTTTGTGCAGACGGGTGACCTAGGCGGTGGTGCCAGAGGACAGTCTCATGTGCCAGAGAGCGACACGAGCAGGGGGCGGACAGCTGACCTGACGTTGACGCAGACGCAGACGTAGCTACCTGAGGGGACTCAGTGGTCAGTGTGTACAGGTCCGACCCGGGCTGCCGAGTGAAGGTAGCCAGGTGACGGCCCGTCCGAGCACACGTGCAGTGTGTCACGCGCTCGTATGCAGGGGTAAACTGGTGGACACCCCCGTCCTGGAGCGCACTACCTGCCACCAAGTTCGTAGAGAACGAGGGGAGGTAGAGACCTGACAGTGTGCCTGACGGGACCGCAGGACAAGGAAGGACAGTGGAGGAGGTCGCAAGGACCGGACCCCCAGAGGGGTCAGCGAGAGAGACAGCAACTGGCCGAGCGAGTGGCTCAAGGACAGTGCGGTCACGAAAGAAACAGCGAGAAGCACCAGAGTCCAGTGTGAAGGTGTGCAGTGCCGTAGTCGACTCAGTACCAGGGGGCACAGACTCACGAGCACCTAGAGCAGCAGCCTCACCAGGACCTGGGGCAGCAGACTCACTAGCACCTAGAGCGGCAGTCGGACTGGTCAGAATGCCCGGGTCGGGCGGAACACGCAAGTACTGAGCACCCTCTCCACTAGTAAACATCGCATACATGGCAGTGAGAATAGCATCAAAGTCTAGAGCCCAGATATCAACCCCCTGCCTCTCCAGATCAGCCCAGCGGGGCAGCTCAGCGCCAGCAGGAAACTGGGCGCGCCATGCGTCGGTAAGGCGCGAGAAACAGCGGTGCGTGGGGTGCGGCTTCCCACACGTCTGGCCAGCGCGGTCACCAGTGCGAATGACGTACGTGCAGGTAAAACCACCCGCCCCCCCCCGCTGCGAATACCACTCACGTGCCTCCTGAAGCGACGGGGCGTGCTGCTGGCTCTGGCCACCGCCAGCGCCTCCACGACCACCACCGCCGCCGCCACCGCCTCGGCCACCTCCACCCCTGCCGCCGCCACGACCACCTCCGCCTCCGCTGCCGCCTCCGCCCCTGCCACCGCTCCCGCCGCTGCTGTCACCACCCCCACTGCCGCCACTAGCCTCTCCAGTCCCACCTCCACTCCCACCGCCTCCACCCCCGCCTCCCCCGCCGCCACCTCCACCCTTGCCCCCTTTGCCCCTGCGGCGCCCGCTCGGAGCAGACGCGGTCCCGACCTTCTCAGCACCAAGGAGGTCGACAGTAGCAGCAGAGGCGACAGAGGGGAGAAGGGGGGAAGGGGAACACCCCTCAAAGAACGGGGTGCGAGGGTCGCCACGAGAGGTGCCTACAGCGACGATGCTCGCCTCAGCTGCAAGCAGTTCCTTCTCGAGGAGGGCAATGGTGAGCTCAGTGGGAGAGCGAGCGAGGAAGTGATCCCTGACTGCGCGCAGAGAGTCAGGGAGGCGGGTGACGATGTGGTAGAGCGTGATCCAGAGCGGGGGGGGGTTGCTGGCAAGGAACTCGTCAGGCATAGCAGCGCGAAAGCGGGCCTCACTAGTCCTGAGGTGGGTGATGAGGTCAGCGACTGTGCTGAAGGAGGCCAGGTCGGGGAACAGGTAGGGCCTAGTGTGGCAGAGGCAGGTGAGGAGTAACGAGCAACTACAGCAGTGTACAGGTCCTTAGCAGTCTTGTGCTGGCCAAAGTGCTCGCGCTCATCTAGCGGCAGGGAGTTGCGAATAGCGAAGCGAGCGTGGGCGTCACGAGTCTGCCACTGTGAGCGCTGAGTGCTGTCTGCAGTGGTAGGAGGGGCAGTAGCGTGACCGAGGGCATGATCGTACAGCGAAATATCCTCCTTGGCAGTGAGCTGTAGGAAGAGGTGCAGGTCATCTAGCCAGGTGTCAAACTTCACTAGGCGGCCCTCAGCATCGAAAGCAAGTACGGGAGGACTGGCCATAGTGGCAGCAGTAGTAGCAGTAGGAGCAGTAGTAGTAGCCGTAGGATCAACAGTTGTAGTAGCAGTAGGAGAAGTAGGAGGAGCAGCAGTATCGACGGGGCTGCTAGTACGGGCGGCGCGGCTCGGTCGGGCGGCGCGGCTCGGTCCAGGTAGGGCGGTGCGGCTCGGTTCGGGCTGCGCGGTTGTGCGGAGTCGCTAAGTGGGGCGGTACGGGGCCGCGGGGGCCTCTAAGCGGGGCTCGACGGGGCCGTGGGGCCGCTAAGCGGGGCGCAGCAGGGTCGCGGGGCCGTGAGGTGGCGGGCGACGGGGCCGCGGGGCCTCTAGGCGGGGTTCGACGGGGCCGCGGGGCCGCTAAACGGGGTGCGCGCGGGGTCGACGGGGCCGTAAGCGGGGCGCGTGCGGGACCGACGGGGCCGTAAACGGGGTGCACGCGGAGTCAACGGGGCCAGACGAGGCCTCTAAGCGGGGCGCGCGCGGGTCGACGGGGCCAGCGGGGCCTCTAAGGGGGGACGCGCGCGGGTCGACGGGGCCAAGCGGGCCGGAATCGGGGCGCGCGCGGGTTCGACGGGGCCACTAAGGGGCAGCGCGCGAGTCGCTAAGGGGCGGCGCGCGGGGTCGACGGGGCCTTAAGGGGCCGTACACGAGGGCGCACGAGGGCGCTGAGGGGGAGGCGCTAACGCAGCACTCCGACAGTAGGGCGCACTGAGGCGCTAGGAGGCAGTCAGTAGAGGTGGGCCCGAAAAAAAAACTTAGGTCCTAGCGAAGGACCTGCTCTGAAACCATGTCAGAAGAACTGAACGAGGAATGAATGAACTAGCAGTGAAATGAGTACAAGTACCTAACCCTAGAATTGTGTACCCCCTATAGGCTAACCCACTGCAGCCTAAACAAGCACAACACATATAATGTTTGACAAACAGAACCTCAAAAAGAAATTGTTGAACTTCAGCCTAATGTGCTAATGTCTGATCTGTACAATAGTGGCACGCGTTTGGGATATTGAGGTCAAGAAGCACCTGATCTCTGACTGCTACTGAGTGATCTCGTCGCTGTCGATCGGCATACTGCTTCTGGGAGTTCTGCATCGTGGTGAGACGTCGCTGAGTTTTCTTCCATAGCTGCTGCATGATGGAGACAAAGTCGTGTGCAGCTTGGATGTGTGACGTTGTTGTAAGCAAACTCTAGGGACGGTAACTGTATGTCCCAGTGGCTGATGTCGTCTTTGCAAGCTGTGCACAGTAAGTTTTCAACCACCTGATTGAGTCGCTCAGTCTGTCCGTCAGTCTGGGGGTGGTACGCTGAAGACATCGCAAGCTTTGTCCCCAACAAACCCATGAGTTCCCTCCAGAACTTACTAGTAAATTTTGGGTCTCTGTCTGAGATGAGTGTAGCGGGGATGCCGTGGATGGTGATGATGCGGTCGAAGAAGAGGCGAGCAGTTGCTTCAGCAGTAGCCGTGGCGTTGGTCGGGATGAAGTGTCCCATCTTAGAGAACTTGTCGATCACCACGAGTATAGCGTCATGCCCTCGTGAGGTCGAAGGAAGCCCAGTGATGAAGTCTAGGCTGACAACTTGCCATGGCTGCTCCAGTACGGGAAGAGGCCAAAGTAACCCTGCTTTCTTCTGCTTGCTACTCTTCATCCGCTGGCACGTGTCGCAAGAGGTGACGAACTGCTGCACGTCTGCTGCCATCCGGGGCCAGTAGTAATACTCCGCTTTTCCCGCTAACGTCTTGTTTCTCTCGAAATGTCCCGCGTATGCCACATCGTGGAACTCCTCCAGTAAGATCTGTCGGAGCGGGGCATAGTTCGGTACCCAAATCTTTCCCAATCCTTTTCTTACAGCTAAGTCATTCTCCCACTGTAACAGCTTCTGTTTCTCTGTCGTTGCTATCTCTACGTCCACGTAATACCCATGTTGGAATAGACCCTTGAGCAGAGGGTTCATCCCGTCGAGCTGGATGCCTGCTACATGACCGGGGCAGCTCAACACATCAGCTTTGTTGTGTAGCCCAGGCTTGTAGATGATGTCGTAGTGGAAGTGGGTCTCCAAGAAGTCCACCCACCGCACCTGTCGTCGTGAGAGCGTCGGCTGCGACTTCAGGTATTTGAGACTGCAGTGGTCAGTGTAAACTGTGGTCTTGGCTCCCTCTAAGTAACACCTCCACGCCTTGAAGGCTATGACTATCGCTAAGGCTTCCTTGTCATGGATAGGGTAGTTCAGTTCTGCTCCGTGTAGCTTTTTACTGATGTTGGCGATGGGCTGCAAACCGCGTCCGTGATCCTGCATCAGTACTGCTCCGACTAATTGGTCACTAGCGTCTGCTTCCACCACGTAGTCCTTGTCTGGATCCGGTAGGATGAGTACTGGCGCCGTCGTCAGTGCTGTCTGTAGCTGCTCCATGGCTTGCTGTTGAGGAGTATCCCATTTATAGGGCGTATCCTTTTTCAGTAGGTTGGTCAGTGGCGCTGCTATCTTAGCGTACAGCGGCGCAAACCTGTTGTAGTAGTTGGCGAAGCCTAGGAACTACTGCAACTCCTTCACGTTCTCTGGAACTTTCCACTTCTTGATGGCTTCGATCTTCCGCGGGTCCACGTGTATGCCCTCCGCACTCACCATGTGCTCGAGAAACTGCACCTTCTTCAGGGCGAAGTCGCTCTTTGACAGCTTCACGTAGAACTTATTCTCCCGAGGATCTCGAAAACTTTCCACAGATGCTCCACGTGCTCCTTCATGGTCTTGGAGTAGATCAGTATGTCGTCCAGGTACACCACCACGCATTCGTTTAGCAGGGGCCGTAAGATATGATTCATCTCCGCCTGGAACGTCGCTGGTGCATTGCAGAGTCCGAACGGCATCACTAAGTACTCGTAGGAGCCGTATCTGGTACGGAACACCGTCTTGTGGATCGAGTTGTCAGCCATCTTGATCTGCCAATAACCCGACCGTAGGTCCAGCTTCGAAAACACCGTTGCACCACGCAGTTGGTCTAGAAGATCGTCTATGCGCGGTATGGGGTATTTGTTTTTGACTGTCTGTTTGTTCAGTGCCCGGTAGTCGATGCACATCCGTAAACTACCGTCTGGCTTTGGAGTGAAGAGAACCGGTGCGCCGTAGGGAGAGGTGGATGGGCGGATCAGTTGTCTGGCCAGTAGGTACTCGATCTGTTTCTTCAGTCCGTCACTTCGATCGGACTAAGGCAATATGGTGCACGTGAGACGGGTTTCGCACCTGGTTCTTCCACGATCTCGTGCTCGTGGGTTCGCGCTGGAGGCACTCCTGCAGGCAGGTCATCCGGCATGATGTCTTTGTACTGCTCCAACACCTCCTTTACTGCTGCAGGTAGCTCCGAGTTTGGTTTTTCCTCCTCTGCTGTCGCCATAACCAGTGCTAAGTAACCCGTGTTACTCTCGTTCACCGTTCGTTTGAACCGCGCCAGTGTCGTTTCAGGAACATCCCCTGTATCCGTCCAGCTTCGCAGCTCCACATGTTTCCCATTGTTGTAGATACACGCCTTCCGATTGACCCATTCTATCCAGGGTTGTACTGTTTCAGAAAATCACGCCCCAAGATGAAGTCTAATCCCTTGATGTTCGTGATCGGCAACGTCGGCTTCCACCTCAACGCCCCTATCTGCAGGTGTAGTGTTGACTTGCCGTGGATGGGAAGCTTCGTACCGTCCACCATCGTTGCTGTAAACTGGGTCTCCTCCGATGACTCTCCGATTTTCTCCAACGTCCTGCGGTCGCACACCAAGTGTGATGCGCCGCTGTCCACCAGTGCCTGGAGGCATCGCCCGTTGCAGATCACCTCGAGTACTAGTGGTTGTTGCCGCTCCGAGTAGCTGTAGATGGTGTTGCTTTCCTGTTTTTCTTCATAAGGTAGATCAAATGTATCGTCCCTTGGTCCTGCGCTCGAAGCTGCTGACTCAGTTTTCAACTTAGCAGGGTTAGAAGGATTTATCCGAGGCCGATTCAGCTTCTCTAGGGCCTGGAGCCTTCCCCTAAGCCTTTGCAGTGGTGTGGGCATTACCTGTGGGAAACAGGGAGCCTTTAAACAGGGCTGCTGGGAGAGAATATTAACTCCTCGGAACGCTCGACCGTTATCAGCGCTCTGGAGTAGGGTCCCCATTTTATCCGGTACCGGTTTAATTTCTGACTCTCCCCAGATAAATGCTTGAAAACCACGAGAAGTAATATTCTTAGTTAAAGTATCTTTATAGGATAACTTTAACGAATTCTTACTTGTCGGGGTGTACGGCTGGAGTTTCCCAGTCGGTGCAGAGTCTTGTTTCGCGGAGCCTCCATTTGCCTCGGCGATTTCCCCTGGTGCCGGCTGGTCGTGACGTTTTAATTTCGCGTCACCGTATTCTCCTTTTTTTCGCCCTCTCCGAAGTCACCACGTTTTCTGCCCGTGTGGGTGCCACACTGTTCTTGCCCTTCAGCTCCGCACGTGCTTTCTTCATTTTCCAACACGCCAAGATACGATGTCCTGTAGCACCGCAAAGTTCGCCCGTCGCATTTTTTGCTAGCCGCTGCGTCGCATCGTCCTTGTCGTTCTCCATCGGGTCGGCAGTCG